TACATATTTGATTTTCCTATGGTATATATATATATATATATATATATCAGAAAAATTACAACTTCTTGTGATCAATATCTACCATAAAAAAACCAAAAATATTATACCTGCATATATTTATATTTATTGTTACTACTTTGGGTAGTTTCAAGAATAGAGAAACGTTAAAACCCAAGTTATTTAGTAAGATAGTAAGGTAATCCGTTTATGCAAGCATAGCACGAATGCTATTGTACATAATAATCTATATATCCAAATAAAAAAAGAAATGTATTGCAGCTAAATGTATTGCTAAGCACATAATTTAAAATTGGTTGAATCAATTCGATAAAATTTTATCCAAATATTCGTTAAAATTATTTATAGGGGAAAAAACAAAAAAAAAACTTGGAAAATTTACATTTTCCCCTCTTTTGACGGAATGAGGTCTGGCAAGTTAGCTAGGCCTTAAAAAAAACAGTACCGTACTAGTGTTGTAAAGAGCATACTATATTAGAGTACTTAATAGTAATGTATTAAATTATAGTATTAGGTTGTGTATTGCAAAAGTATATAAAAGAAGAAGCCTAGCATGATGACAAAAGGACAGATTTCCATTATATATTACACGTAGTATACTATATTAGGTACCTTATAGCTGTGGTAAAGTAACAAACTGTAGTACTAGATTGTATACTGAAAATGAAAATAGAAGAATACGACAGAAGAATAAACATGCATTCAATGAGATATACTAGAATTTTTTTAATAAAAAAAAATAAAGAAGACAAGACAAAGGACGACAATAAAAACTGAACCACGAACTTTGAAACTACTCAGCAATACATTGTTGTATTGTGTATGCCTAATATATGAACGCTTTTTGTTATCGAAATTGAAATGGTTTTTGCAGACTTACCAGTTTAGGAAGAACTATTACGTCGTGTCCTTCTATCAAATTATAATATGAAAAAATAGATTGCCGAAGTTCCATTTAAGTTGGATTCTCGTGTGAGTCACAGCTAACTTGTGCCGGCGGTAATTCTGCGTTTGTTGACATTTGGCGGTCGACCAAGAGATGTATGAAAAAATCTCATGTTTCTATTGGAAAATATAATAATATCCTTATCGCTGTGACGTTAAGATTCAATTTCCTTAGCGGCGACTGTTGTCGTCAATATAACGAAGTTTGTTCCTCTCAACAATGGTACGGCGACTTATGCGCGTCACACATAGTTCCCTATTGTTAACGACCGCCTCGTATCTTGTAGGTACGTGGAGTAATTTTATAATAAACTATTGTTAATTATAGTTGAGCGAACGTGCATTATAATTTTATAATTATACGAATGTTATTTTGTTATAAGGCACTGTGATTATAAAGTTTTCGCTCATTCAGTGTTTGGTTAGATTGTTGTTGTCTTTCAAAATCATTGACATGTCATATTTTTTGTTGATTCAAGTCTTTTGTTTGTCAGCGAAAAAAGTATAGCGAAATTATTTACTTTGTGAATCATTCAAAGAAGCTAATACCGGCCAATGAACTTTTTAAAAAAAGTATCAATTCAGTCGTGTACTTGAATACATGTAAGCATACAAATAAACTGTGTCACACAGAATGTTTGAAAATTCTAAACTGAAAAGTCACAAGTCCCGGAATGTACGAATACTCAAATGAATCAGATTCTAATTTAAGTCAAACAGTTCATTAAAGCGAAAAATATAATGTTCAAAAATAGACAGATGATTCTTTTACGCGTTCTCATTAAAATTTTCAAAATAAGAAATATTTATATAGAAATTGTAGTAATTATTTAGTATTGTAAAGTTTATGGTTAAATTTTGATGTATCTGACGTGTCATGGTATCAATATAGAAGCTGATGATACTGAGAGAGATGATTATGGCAAAATTTACTTTGAATGGATAAAATGGGACAATTCAATGGAACAATGAGTAACCCCCGAATATTGTGCAAACCGAAGGGTGAAAGCCATTTAGTAAGTTGTGAATCTAAGTTTTAGTCCACAAACCACAATGGTATTGCATCTGTGAACGAAAAATTGGAATGAGCGGGATTTTGTGTGAATAGTGTATAATAGAGGTATCGCTAGCAATAGCAGTCTGAAGAGAGGAAAATAAGCATTGGCGTATATGCTCCCTCTGTTCTGTGTTTGCTTACATTTCTCCTCTCCTTATTCTGAAATGGGCACCAGATAATTCTGTGGCGACATGGTCCTCCCGGCCCTCCTCTAAATACGTCTCTGGCAATAAGTTCATAAAAGTAAAAACGATAGAGGAAAGTTAAAGTAGTTAAATATTGTTTATAAATATTATATATTTATTTATTTGTTTTTGTTTTTTAATATATTATGATAAAAACTGATATATTATGATTTTATTTCTGAAAGAAACAGAGAATTAAAGTGGACCAACATCAGAGTAATTTTTTTTTATTACAAAGAGAAATATGCAATATTGATTCTAATTTATATCCACATAATAAAATATAAATGAACTGTCTTCGTTTTGAAGTTAACAATAAATAAGATAAACTAGAACATGATTCTTCTAATTCAGTGATAATAAATTCGTAATGATTTTCTATGGATTTTTTATAAAAATTACCTATGTATATAGATAATATTATTAGGGCATCTATTGTCACTGGTTAGTATTTTAATGCTGACCTTTCTTTTAAACTAAGAAAACATATACTTTATTGAGACTTCAATATTTTATAGAAAAAACTTATATACCTACCTACGTATATTTATTCTAACTAGCTATTTGGATAGCATGGAAAATTCATAACAAGTAAAAACACTATGCTTACGTAGCATTATAATGGCATATTCATGGAAATATTTGCAAAAACATACGTGCATGCATCTTATTACAATCCACTCGTATCAAGTATTAAAGTTCACTAAGTAAGCACTAAGATACGGTTGCTTTGTCTGGAATATCCTGAATGTATATGAAGAGAATAATGAAGAACGGACTTTATTTAAAATATACGATACCGTTTCTATTAGCAATTTGGTTAGACGTTACGTTATGGGAGTACCGTTGTCGAGAGTTCAATGTAATGACTTTTATTTCTTAAACACATCCGTCTTAGATTTCATTGAATTCTTTTTTATTTAGCTGCCGTTGTCGAAACCAGTTTTAGCTGTTAATTTTGGTATTAGTTTTGGATGTTCGTTTTTTTCGCCCGTATCTGTATTATGAGTTATAATATTTATAATTGTTGGACTGTATTTTTGTTTTAATAAACTAATCTTTTCGTCGAGGTCTTCGTATAATTATGATAGTAATTAACTTACAGGTAAGTTAATTTAATCATTAACGATAAATGATCTCATGGTATCAGAGACTGCAGAGAGATTAAAATATAAAACAGAGATGTTAAGAATAAAATCATTATTTGTTTCAATTATAAATGTTTATATTTATTTATTCCATATGTTTGTATTTTACCAAAATTATATAATATATATTTTATGATTATTTTACATTTTTAAACCGTCTTTAAAAAGAAGGAGGTTCTCCATGCGGTTTTATTTTTTTTCTGTTAGTTACCTCATAACTCCGTCAGTTCTAAATCGATTTGGAAAATTCTTTTTTTATCTTAAAGGATACACACATCAAGTCCAGTAGTTTAGTTTTTAGATCATACTTTTGTCACAATTGAATTGTCACAGTTTTTTTTTTGTGTGGGACAAAATTTTTAATTATTTAGGAATGGATAATAAGTAGTTAGATATTTAGTAATAAATACTATTTCATATTGAGTTTATTAGTTTGAATACTTCTTACTTACACATTGAATATAACTGTACAATCATTCTATATTATATACGTGTTACTATATGTCTCATGAATGCAAATTATAATGCAGCGGAAGCTATAGACGGAAGTTGAATAAGACAAATGGTTACTTAGCATATTTTTTCAAAATGAGATGAGTATTATTTTGTGAAATTTAACAACAGGTTTTTCTATGACACCATTATCTATTATCTATCTCTAAAACTTGAACTATTTATATTATTGCTAAATTATTATTCTAAGAACCAGTGTAGACTAAATTTATAATACGTTTCAGACAGAATTCAGTACTTTATTTAAATTCAGTTCTCAATAGTTTATAAGATAAAATTTATGCATTTAATAAACTATTAAATTTAAATTTATATTTAAAAATAGATTTGGAGAAGGATAATTATAAGAATGGTTCAGAAATGACCAATATTTCAAAAGTGTTGTTTTCAGATGACTTTAAAAAGAACGAAGTTCTCAATTGGGCTGAGTTTTCATTTTGTATCTATATTCCGTTATATTATATAATTTTTATTATTTTATTTATTGGGTTTATTATTACTTACATACTTTTTATCAAGATTTAAGCATTTTTAAATAAATCTTAAAGACTGGACGAAATTAATAGATAGATACTTAGTAGTAATTATAAGTGTGGGCAGTCAATACAAGTTCTTTGATATTATTTGAACTTGACTGATAAGAATAGTAAACAAAATTAGTATTTACACTCCGATGTCGTGCCAGAATAATAAAAGAAAAACTAGATTAGGCACTGATGATGACGTTAGTATAGCAACTAATGTGATATGACTACATAAACACTATATAAAATTACGGAATTAAATATAACTACTGGTAGTTTTTCAAAAGTAAAAAACATGCATATAAAACAGGGAATATAGAATATGTAGAAAATATGCTAGAACCTAGAAGAGTTCATATTACAAAACTGTCTGATATAGTTAGTAGTCAGGTAAGTCAAAAAGAATCACATATGGAGGTAACTAAGTAACGGAATTGCTGCAAGAACACGCTGTCTCGTTACTAATAAAATTCAAGAAATTATGGACTTACAATATACAGATATATCAACGTAAATATGCAGCAACAAAAATAATAAAAGCTTCCAATAAACTAATGATTAATGCTACCCATATTACTGTTTAAGTGAAGAAAAATCAATATAAACTTACGTATAGAAACGAAATCCTTCAGAAATTGTTTATGTTCACACACAAATGAAGATAACGCAGCACGGATTTTTGATAACATCAATATTTCGATTCGTTGCACCGCAGATTAAAATAACCCAGTTTATAATTAAATATTTGTAGTTTTTGAGAGTGATTTATACAGATTGGAGGAATACGGGTACCCCGCGGCGTGTCTATCTAGTTACTGGTGGAGCACTGACTGAGTACTGGTGACGTGAAGCGGTAAAAGACTGGTGCCGGTATGACTTCATAACAAAAAGGTCTTGTTAAGTTTAATTGTCTACAGAAATTCGAACCGTATTCGAGAGACGATACGGTGGTTTTTATTGTGGGTGAATATAGCTGGTTAGTTTCGCTCCACATGTATGCGTACGCCACGATCGCGACCATGTAGACATTTCTTTAGAGACGGGAGAAAAGGCGAAAGGACATACTGGCCACTTGAATGAACTGGTTGTCGCCACGTTACCTCTTTAGATTATTTTGTTCAATCGCTTTTGATTTAAGAACATTTAATTACCATGTTCATAAGTTGATAATATTGACAAATGTACTATAACATTCTGCCTTATTAATAGCATTGTACGATAAGTAAGAATAATCGTGTTATTGACCTGACGCATTCTTGCAGCTGTAGTCATTAGTTGGTCGTTAAAAAATAAAAGACTGATAACTGGTCATAAATATATTTTGAATTTATAAAAGGGTGAAATCGAATGCAATTAGCATTTATTTAGAGAGTATCCTACTAGTGAAATTAAGCATAGATATTATAAAAAAAAAAAAACATTTGTCAATAACGACATAAAATTTTGAGCCTTCCGCTAATTAGATTGCTGGATGCGTCATGTTAGTTTCTATGGAAGAGTTCAAAAAAGATGACTCAAAAATATTTCCCAAAAGATGCTAATTTTCATTTTTACTGTGCATAATAAGATATCATAATTGCATGATTTTACGTGTTAATCTCTTGTTTTAAGTAAGTTCAAAAATATTAAGTCGAAAATGATTAGAAAATTGGTAAAAAAGAAAACATTTAAAAAACATAGAAAGAATTACAGTTGATATTTTTAAACGAAAATGTTTAATAATATATATTTATAATCTTTATTATTACGGGGTAATTTGTTAGTAACATAAATTTAGCCTAATGTTAGTAAACATTACAATAAAATAAATAAATAAAAGAAAAAAGATACAATAAATAAATTCGGTCACCGCTGAAGCACCCGATTTCTTTTTTTTTTTTAATAAATGATAATGGAATGGCAACCCCGCCTGCGCTATCTGTATACACTGATGGGGCACCAGTGATGGGTGATAAGTGAAGACGAAGCAGGTCAGTAAGCCAATCGTGATAAAAGCAATGAATCAATCACGATGGTTTCCAGGGGCAACCGCGAGGAGGTCAATCTGAAACACCTCATTTAAGATACAGCAGCACCAGAACAGTGACCAATGTAAGAGCAGTCCAGCCTGCTTGCAATCATATTCATTAATAATGGATACTTTTTTAAATAAATATAAAAAAAGTCTTATTAGTGATTTTAGAAAAAGACTGGTAATTAAAGCGGTCTCCAACGATTCTGAAACGGAAAAAGACCCAAATTCAATGAAATATAATTAATTGCATTTTTTTTTACAAATTTCAATGAACGTGGGTAATTATAATGTTCACGTAATGCTTATGCTTACTTTCGGATAGTCAAAAGAGGAAACTTACATTTAGGTAAAAACAAATTATGGCAAACACTTTCAGGACGGCTTTTCGCGTTCTCTTTTATCGTATTTTTTTTTAAGAAAAGTGCTTAAGGCACTGACGCAATATGTCAGATGTAATGAGTAAATAATTGGCTATAAGAACGTACTTAAAACGTACTTAAATGTTTTACAATTGAATGTATAATAGATGATTTGTACAAATACATGAAAGGAAACTATTAGGCATCCGCAAGACAAATCCGCTTTTCCTCGATTGAAAATTATTTTTTGATAGATGTGTTGTGCATATTACATTATACTAGCTGTTACCCACAGCTTTACCCGAGTTATGAAGTATCCTATATGTTAAGTTAGGATATAGCTTACACGTGAACTGAGTTTCATTTAACATTTTTAATTCCATTTAAAAAGGGAATATTAAGGTTTCTTAAGAGTTGGCAACGTGCGCGTTACAGACGTTCGTAGGCTACGATAACCTCGTTTACCATCAGACGGGTCGTATGCTTGTTTACCATCATAGTAGTATAAAAAATATAACTCTACGACTATAGCTCTTCCTTCTTATAAAAACAGTTATATAAATTCTTTGACGATAGAAACAAGTTATTCAGACGTACCCAACCAGACGACTTTTATATTAAGCTTCCAAGTGAATGACAATACGTAAATTAGTCTTTGTAGAGTAAATGCAACATGCAAATTTTACATTACAATAATTTTAAATAATACAATTCAAAAGAGAAATTTTAATCATCACATAATTAATATGGGACTAATATGAGAATAAACTCTATTGAATGGTGAAGGAATTATTAAAAATCGGTGTAAAATATGATCACGTAACATATCAGAGGAAGACTTTGTACAAAAGTCGCTTGCTTGGGTACCTCTGTCCCATTCATGTTTCTACCGTGAAGCAGTTGTGTTTGCATGGCTGTGTTTCGATTTGAAGGGTGGGATATGGCGTAAATTTATAGGGTTCAGAGGAACAACATCTGAGTCCTCAGAAATGGCAACGCATGGGGGTATCATAGGCAAAACAGTATACTCTGTTATGTCCATGGTTACTGCTCATGTCTATAAGCGGCGATTACCTCTTTCCATCAGGTGGGCCGTCAGCTTGTTTGCCATTCTAAGTTGTATAAAAAAAAAAACAAAAAAAATATGTAGACAATTTGAGAATATGTGGGTTTTAAGTGATTTTGCTATGATCATTTGTTAAAAGATCTTTTACACAATTATACAAACATTTATCATCATTATCACATCAGCAGTCAACTTTCCACTGCTAAACGTAGACCTCTCCATATTTTTTTTGGGTGAAAGTGGTATGGTAACCGCCTGCGCTAACGGGATACGCTGGCGGAGCACCAGTGAAGGGTGATAGATGAGAATGAAAACAGGCCAGTTAGCCCATCGTGATGAATTTATCAGGAATTAACCATGATAGTTGCTAGGGGGAACCGCGATCATTTATTAGTTGAAAGTTAGGCTTTGGTGATATTTTAAGAGGGATACTGCTGTCTGTCCCTCGATCTTTCATAATAAGAGGCAATAGGGTAGGGCGGGGCTAAAAGGTCAAAGACTTTAATAATAATAGAAAGTTTAATCCTTCATCTATAAGTTGCCACGAACATTTACAACTAAATCATATTTTGTGGTCAAATGTAGTCTTTATATTTATTATATTTTAATCGACAGATATGTTGCGACCTATTTTGCACTGGTAACTAAGTTATATAATTATAAGGCTCTTAATAACAAATCTTTAGGTCTTTGGTCTTTTTGATCTTGATAAAGGTAACATCTTAAAACAATTGTAGTATCTCAAAATCGTACATATTCATAAAAGAAATCGGTAACATCCAAACAATTTAAAAAAATAAGTATTTTTAATAACTAATCTTCATCAGACTGACAATTCTTACATTCGTATGCAAGAGATGATGAGTGATGTTTGGCACACTTATCGTGGGCCCAACCTTTACAGGTATTACATTGAATCCAGCCTTCTCCTGCAACACTGTCAGAAGGACAAAGACATTCTTCTTCTTCAGAACTCGAACTCGATCTTTTTCTTGTATAATCTTTCTTTTCACTTGTTTATTTTTATGTATCTTTTTCTTGTAAAATCTTTTTTTTCACTTGTTTATTTTTCTTCGAGACAGCTTTTTTACGAGAGACCATTTTCTTCTTCTTTTTATTTTCTTGTTCCAAAGACATCCTTTTCATGTGTCTGTTAATGAACATTACGCGGTCCTGCCTGATCATGGATTCCGCTGATGAAGCTAACCATGCAGCTGTAGAAGACAACATTAGGTCACTTGAGGACAGCAAAACTGAGACGGTAGGCAACTGAGGCCCTACTGTAGACAACTGAGAAGGAGATACAGGAGATATACTTGCTGAAACAACTGCTACAACTTCGGGCTGCGAAGAAATTAACAAACTTGGTGAACCTGGAGAAATAGGCAACTGGGGCTCTGTAGACATAGGCGGCTGTGACTCATTAGGTACAGAAGACGTTGTTGGATTGTTCGGATTTGGTCGGTCTGTCACAAAACTTGGAGCGAAGTCCGACTCATCAAACACTTCCCGGTTGAACGGGTAAACCCCAGCTTTTTGAAACCCTTTCGAGATGTTGTTGGGAGTCAGTGCCAAAGGTAAAGCTGTTCGGACGATGCCTGGGATATCGTAAATGCTCATTGTTTTTCCTGGGTGGCCACGCATCCATGAATCTTGTGCTGACGATAAATACCATTTAAACGGCCCGAAAACAGACACGTCTAAGGGCTGCAGCTTATGGGAACAATGAGGAGGATACGACAGCATCACTACTCCATTATTTTTCGCTAGATCCAACACTTCCATTGCGAACTGTGATTGTCTAGTAAAAGCAAAACTGGCGACTCTTTAGTTGGCTTCACATAAGTGATGAAATGTTTCTCCAAGCAAGAATTCCGTATCAGTCATCCAGCCGCTTGCATTTCCTGCACCAATACATTCTGCTGGCCCATCTCGCACGAAATGATCTTGGTATTTCTTTCTTGGAAATACGAACATTGGAGGTATCGAAGATCCAGTTGCCGAAACAGCTACCAACAATGTTACATTAGTTCCTCTTTCAGCAGATTAGACCCGACGTTTCTTTTCCCTTTGGCTGCAATTATTTTTGAAGGTTTATTTACAGTCGAGACACCAGTCTCATCAGCATTCCATATAGACGAACCTCTGAATTTGTGACGATCCATCACGTGTGCCAATTTATCAAAATATTCACAAACGTTCGTTCGATTGAAAGAGGTGGCCCTGCTCAAACTAGTAGCCTCTGGCTTCCTGATAGAGAGACGGTCATTCCTTGACAAGAATCCCGTCAGCCAGTCCTTTCCAGCCATCTTATTTGTGTGCCATACCTCAGGAATCTTCAAATTATATTTTACAGCGCATTCATAAGCCAAGCGACGAACATCTTTAGGGCCTATACCGTGAAAGATTTGTGCAAGTGTCAGTAAATACTCGCAGAGAGAAGTTTCTTGTTCTTGGTTAAACACTAATCTGGGAGTGCCGTAGCTTTTGGCGATCCGGATTTTCTTTAACCGCGCCATGAATCTCTTCAATGAAGTTCATCTCATAGTCACGACAAACTTGCCTTATTGATTTATCTTCATTTGCGACTAAATCAGCCGCTCGCTTCATCAGCTCAACGGACTTCGTACCACGCTCAGTGGTTTTTTTATAATTCCGCATTCTGAAAATAAAATAGAAATTAATACATAGAATCAAAATAATTCGTGGGGCTTAAAGGTCCACCGCGGTCCTTTGTGCCCCAATGGTAGGTGGACTGTTGTTTTAGGTTATGTAGAAAAACAAGGTGATGCAAACAAAAAAACAATGGCACTACGTGAAACTTAATACCACTAAACATTTATACAGAGAAATTATGTTTCGTAAGTTTAAAAATCGAACAATGAGACTAAAACTAAGTAAAATCTAAAACATTACTTACGTGTAATTTTCGCACCACTTGCGCGTACACTCTTGCCGGCTCTAGAAAATGCACTGCGCGGGGCGGCATGCGCACCCGTCCCTCGTCCCCTTCACGCACCGGTCACTCCGTTGTCTAACGTGCACTTAGTTTCGGAGATAGGCATGGTGGACCTTTTTACCCGCGGACCTTTTAGCCCCGCCCTACCCTACATTTGTATCGCCTATCATTTACTAATCAATGATAATGTGTGTCATCTTGAAGTTTAAGACCCACGTGATTACATATTTTTCTACTTCAGTGAATGTGAGCACGCATGCGCGAGATAGCCAGTCATCTGGAATATAAAACTCCATTGTCTACAATTTATGTGCAAAAATAAACTTTATTACTATGTAATTTTCAACTGATTTCAAAAAGTAAGTAAATTTTCAATTCGATTGTATGTTTTTTTTTAATGTTTGTTATCTTATAACTCCGTCAATTGTAAATTGATTTGGAAAATTGAAAGAATATACGTACAGATTAGATAGGTCTCGTAAAAGTTTTATCAAAATTGGTATAGAAGTTTTTCAAATCTAAATAATTGATTTTGACCCAATTAAAATCGGTTTTTTTTAACACAACTTTAGTTTTTATTTAGTACTTAAATGTCTTATATATCGTCATAGTCGTAGAATACTGACGGATCTATATATGTAATATTTGTCAGATCTGTCAGTATTCTACGACTATGACGATATGTCTATATTCTGTATTTACACTGTATTTATTCTGGGATATAAATTCTGTATTTATTGGCAATGGTAATATATGCTATGTGGAACACGGTCAGTTTATTTGTCATTCGTCGATTTTAATAAGAAAAGATTCCATCGTTTGTTAGTAATGAATATACTCAAAAAATACTTAACTAATTGAAAAAAAAATCTTTCAATAGGAAGCTACATTACCGATGAGTTATACAGGCTGTATTTAATTAAAAAGAACCGTATTTTATATAATTTTGTCATTGAATCTTAAAAAAAGTTATTATAGTGTGGTTACACTATACTCATATGTACAGTGGGGGGTCGCAAGTAGTGTCCTGATTTTTTTACTTTATAAGGCCTATTGCGTTAATTGGAAGTAAACAATTAAATAGTAAGGCTTCTTTTTATTAAATGAACTGAATATTTTAACATGTGGGTCTTTTATGCTAACGTACAATCTATAGACAGGTGCGACATATGTTATGGACAAAATCATATTACGGAAATTGTTAAAGATTTACAATATACTCAACAAGAAACTTTTACAATAAAAAAAAAAATCATCCTTCACTGGTGCTCTGCCAGCGTATCCCGTATTAGATTATATATAGATATTCGAGCGCCTTTTGATTATGCTCGAGCACGTCGAAGGGACTTTTCCATGTTCCGTTGAGAAGAACGTTCTAACTAGCAAAACAGGCTCCTCATCCACCAGCACTGACTTTGCTCAGCGGTGTCATGAGCCAGTATCCAGTTTTGGATATATTTACTATATAGGTATATTTACTATAACTTGTTTAATTTCGCAGAATAGCAATGAATTATTTAGAAAGTGTCCAATAATAAAATTTTATTATAATTGTATATATTGTGATTGCTAAGGGAGCGAATTGGGAAACTGTCAAGCTTCTTTAGTTGGTCTATCTATCCTATTTAAGAGTTGCGTTTTTGTCGGTGGAGCTCTTGCCACTCACTACGATTCTCTGCGAGTCTCTTCACCTCTTGTTATGACACGACACCAACTCTTTGGTTTAGTTGGTAAATATAATAAATAAATACTGGCTAGCTGTATTCTAATAATGGGTAAGACTGATAATGTGTTTTATGTGGTAATTCACCAGAGTGTGACTTTGTACAAAGGTCGTTTGCTTAGGCACCTCTTTCCCATTTGTGTATTTACCGTGAAAGCAGTTGTTTTTGCATGGCTGTGTTTCGGTTTGAAGGGTGGGATATGGCAGTGAATTTACAGTGTACAGAGGAATAACCTGAATCCTCAGGAATGGCAACGTATGGAGGGTATCATGGGCGAAACAGTATACTCTGTTATGTCTATGGTACTGCTTACGTCTAGGCTCACGTCTAGGCGACGGTTACCACTTTCCATCAGGTGGGCCGTCAAGAATTATAGTAAAGAGTATTTTTTTTTGGAAATTATTTACAAAATTGCTTTCTACTGCAGAAAATAGCAAACAACATCTTGTTATAGAGCAGGGGTCATGGACTCATTTTTACGTTTCGCTATAGCCTTAATGGCAAAAGTCCTCAATCGGGACCTTACATCTTACATGGTGGGAACTTTTCTTTATTCCTTCTCCAACGTTTTCCAAAAGAACTAATAGCTATTACTTATACTGTGGGAATTGTACTCGTATATACACCGAGGAGAAAGAACTTGACAGTAATGGAGATCAAATAGCCCCATTGCTATAAAGCAATATACCCCATCAAGTCGACCTCCATGCGGTTCCGCTGGAAACCATCTTGGTTCAATTTTTTGGAATTCAGTTCAGGCAGTTTTTATTATTTTTCATCCTAACAGTTTTATATAATATGAATACGCGTGTCGTGGCGGTCTTTAATTAAAGCAGCATTTTATAATGTAACCATATTATCATGTATTTTAAGTAGATATAAATGTATGCTTCGTTGGTTGTCCTTAAATAAATAAAATAAAATTCATCACGACGGTTTGCTTTAATTCTCATGAATTGTCTCTCACTGGTGCCCCGCCAGTATACCGGTAATACAGGCGGGGCAAATATAATTAATTATTTTTGGAACCAGTACTTACTCTATCGACATCTGGCACCGCGGAAGCTGTGGAAGGTGAAACTGTAACTATGTCGTTCTCAGTACAATCCGCTATTTGTTACTGTTATTTCAGAGCACGCAATGGAGCTGTATTCAGTGTGTCACATGGTAAGCTATTTGTAATTAAAAAGATAAATCCGCGTGATCAGGACATATTTATTGACCGAGATAAGATATCTTCCTACATCTCAAATAAGTATTAATCTTACAAACTCATAAACCTATTTTAGCCATTGAATTCTTTTGTCTCTTTTTTGTGCTAAATTCTTAGTTTGAATGTAAGTGACGAAACAGTATAATAGTTGAAATAGGATTGTAGGATGTGTTAGTTTTATAAATAAAGGGGTAAGTGTGCATATACCAGAGATTATGACGACTGGTTGAAGTTTAAATTCACTTCCATATTGAAAAATAAATAAGAATACGCTTTTAAACATGGGTCTAAAAATCTATTATTCACTGCACTTCATTACGCATCGATGTTCAGACTGTATCACTGTTTTTGCACTAATAAAGTGACTAGTTAAGAAAATCAGTTTAGATAAGATAAAACAAGATAGCAAAGATCACGTAGAGGAATAATTGTGTGGCACCACAGATCGTATTGTTTATAAGTTTATATTTCAAGTGGCATCCATCATTGACTCGTTATAGTCGACAGAATGAAGTCTTGGGCGCTATTTGTTTACGCACTACTGTTAGCAGGTAATATATTTTTCTTTTATTTTATAGCAAAGGGTAGCAACCTCAGCGTCCACCTGATGAAATATATGCACAGAATGTGTATTGTAACGGATATAGTACGTGTACACGTGTGTTAGAGATAATTTTTTTTCTCCTATCTAATTGGTTTGAAAACTAGGTTATGGTAGTGAAATTACTAGGTACATAGACATAAAATCTTAGTCCTAGGAATGGCAACTTATAAGGAATATCTACATTGTTTTCTTTTCTGGGTACCAAGTGTTTATGTTTATAGGCAAAGATTACCACTTTTTATGACGTCAGCCGCCAGTTTGTTTATATCTGCCATTATATGGTGCATCAAAAATGTTTTTTACTTAATTACAACTGAAATGTTTTGAACAAAATTTGATACACTGATAAACCACAATTCACCAGCGGCATTGCAAAATATATTTTTTTATACAACTGAAACGTTTTGACAAACAATTGATACACTGATAAACAATATTATTCACGTAGTCAGAACTGCAAAATATATTTTTTTTTTTATAAAACTTAGATTGACAAACAAGCTGACGGCCCACCTGATGTAAAGTAAATTAAATAGAATTGACAGAGGTACCCAAGCAATTGACTTTTGTACAAAGTCTCCCTCTGGTAGTTAATAATATTATAGAATAATAGTATTTTCTACGAGTATTGTGTCACTAATCACCATAATTACGTATCATTTTTCAAAGGAGGTGCATTTGCAGCAGAGATTATAAAAACAAATAATACTACTCGGGAAGTAGAATATTTAGATCAAGAATTTTTCAATACCAAAATTGGAGCCGAAGAACGTGTGATTATAACTGCGTATGCTTTTAATAAAAAAGAAAAATGTTTTATTAAATTACCTAATGATGTACAGTACAGTATCGATGAAAACTCAAATATACCTGGAATAAAAATAGTTGAAGACCCCAATGTTGCATGTGGGATTATTGTTAATGTTCAATCCGAAGATATGATAGGTGAATGGGAGCTGATTGCCTGGGAGTTAAGATATTCCGATCCTATCGAGAAAAGGTTGCCGTTCACCATATACGTCGAAGGTATGTTCTAATTGTTGTATCATTTATTTAGCACAATAACATTTATCTACATTTTCTATTGTATTCTCTCATAGTGAATCTTTAAATACTTCTCTATCAAGTTTAGGTTTTCTAAGATTGTTTATTACGTCTACGTAATGAGTTAGAAGATCGTAGGTAAGATCGGTCGTCTTACTATTCTTTTCATGTATTTTGGATATAACGTCTGGGTTTTTAGTTTGTCCATATGCCATATTATCCTGTTTATTCCCAGCTAAGCTAATTAATTTTACTTGAATCTCATCAGTTCTGTGATAAAAATAAATATGTACAATAATAAAGTCATTTATTATTGTATATGTTTATATCAGTCATATTGATTTTACTGTTATAAATATTATAAATTCTGCTTATCTATTATATCTTATATTACAGAGAATATTAATGCAGCACCAAAACAAGTTACAATAACTGAAGGTAGTGATCTATATTTGCATTTGGAGAATCCTACAAACCTTCATGAAACTTGCAAGCTTATTGGACCGGATAAAAAAGAGAGGACCAATGTTGAATCGGATTCAAATTATGTTGACAGTTGTGGGTTCGTAATCAAAGGTATAAAAGTATCTGATAATGGAAAATGGGAAATTAGATATGGAAATGGAGTAATTTTTAGAGCATTCACCAAAGTAACAGTTAATGGTAAGTTAATTGTTATCAAATATAGATATTAGAAATAAAAATATTATAACAAAAGATGTTTGGGGTGATGACATCTATGTCGAAGTAAATAACGTTCGAAAGATGGTGTAATTCGGTTTGGAGAAATGTCACCTGATAGTATTCTGTTTTTTAATTAAGATTGTATTTAGTTCATCTCTTTTGAAATAATGATTTTAGACATGCATGCTCAAATACGTTGTATTAAACTGCTGTTGATTAAAAGTTTTTTTATTTAAGCAAAGTGACACGTTTTCCACTTGTACAATTTTCGATCGTGCCAAATTCGGATTGGGCAAAAAAGGTACTTTGATACGAGTACATTCGTTTGGGTCTAGACAGGGCATGTTCCATATATCCCTAAAATTATGTTTCTATAAAAAAAATATGGCATGTAGGTCCGGGCATGATGCCCGGCATACAATAGGCTACCTCTTCCTTCCCCATGGGTATTGTAAGAGGCGATTTAGGAAGCTTTTGATGGAGAGATGGGCAGCAGCATACCTCTTAAAAAATAACGAAAAACCAAACTGCGGTTGCCAATCCGTCTGCTAAACGTGGCAACTACTGGCAAACCTACTGGCCAACTATTGGGAGGCCTATGTTCAGCAGTGGACAGTTAATAGCTTATATAACAACAACAACAATGGAAAAAATCTTAGCTACTTATTTATTCTATACATAAAACTTCAGAAATATGGAAAGGCCAACAAATGGATTTTATCTGGACGAAAGATAGATCAGTAAATATTACTATTGGGCCTGAAGATGCTGTTTACTGCAAAATTGAGGATCCCCATGGCTATGTCGTATTTGATGGATTCGGTGCATGTAATATAGCATTGGGACGAGTTCGTAGAGAGCACAATGGTCTTTGGAAAATGACCGTCGGTTTATCTGGAAAAGTTTTGACCGAAGAATATGACTTTACAGTTACAGTAACAGAAGCGGGTAAGTAATTTTTTTTTTTCAAATACAATTAATTTAATATAATTGTTAGTAACTGAAGTATCAAAGCTTTTTTTATTATAAAAAGGAATTCAAGTCCTGAGAAAAATAATTTAAGCCTATTCGCTTAAAAAAGAAATATCCAAGTCAGTTTAGAAAGAAACATATTTTTTGCCGTCAAAATGAGAACACCAGTCCGTTTCAAGTCGTTTAAAAATATTATAAAACATAGAATGACAAATAATCGACAGTTCACTAGTATTTGATATGATATTATGTAAATGTTGATTTATCTGTAGGTATGTATCTCAATTGAGATACAATGAAGATAACATGAAAGATGTAGATATGTATGTTTTATTATAAAAAATGGATTAATTCTTGACAAAATAAGTATGAATAAAACCACTATACAGATTACATAAAAGCATTTTCGAAGTCGATTTACAATTGGGGATACTTGTATCGCATAGTAATCATAGCAATAGCAAACATACCAAGTGAGATAAAAAATAAAGTCTAATTGAATACTTAAGAAAGAAGGCCAATGAATGGTTTTTCAGATGTGTATGTAAATCCTGACGTTTTGGTACGACTAAAGTTTAAAGCGGCTTGATGGATAAAAAATTGTTGTTAAATTGATTCTAATTATGGAATGTATTATGATTAATTCTTTTAAATTTTTCCTATAACAGAAATTTTGTGATATAAACTATGTACTTCGAGTTTATATCACTTACTTAAAACCTGTTAAAAAATTTAAATTTATCTATTGCAGCGCAAAAACCTACAGTGATCACTCATGTGGAAAAGCAACAACCAGAAGTGCTACTAACATGTTCAGTGCCGACTGAGTACGAAGTGCATGCTTGTAAATTCCGTGATCCGTCTGGCCGTGTGCTGCTGGCTAATGAGGGTGTAGGAGAAAGCCGGTACAGCTTCCATGGGGCAGGAGTTAGGTGAGAGATTTTTTTGTACATTGGTGTTGCAATCATTTACTGGCTGAGGTGGCAGTGTACCATTACACCGGTCGTATCTTTGGTTGTTATCCTCATAGCTTATAAAAATATCTACCTACGAAATGAAATAAATAATCTATTGGAGTTTTTCCAAGAGACGACAGCATAGAGTTCATCAAGAAAGATGCAGAAGTTTCTTTAAGGTTGGTAACAGGCACAAAATTCTTCTGATATTGCAAAAGTCCTTAGACTACGGTAATGGCTTACCGTCAAGCATGTTATGTGTTTGTTTGCCACCTCAGTGGTATAATCATTTATATAATGTGTAAATGATATGTAATTAAATGAAAGTCCTGCCTTGCTACAGTTTACGGTAAAAAGCTTACCATTAAGGGTTGATAGGTCCTCTCCTGATAGGTTAGTTAGCTCTTAGAGACGAATTCATCAGAAATTAAATACGATAATTTTTAAGAGAGCAGGCAAGGAAGTCGATTCCCTAGTTAATTCCCTCATTGCGGTATATTGCTAGCAACGGATCTACTAGTTTCCATCCTTTAATTATTAACCATTCCTTTTCCTCATACAATATATAAGAGTTTAAGTTATCAGTTACACATTTCAGTTTGAATTCTCAAGTTCAAACACATGAATGCGGTCTTCGTATCACAAACCCTCAAACTTCGGACCTTGGCTTGTGGCGATGCGCTGTTGAAACAGAAGCTAAAGAATACTATGGATTTTTAACAGTACTTTGTCCTTGGGCCATGCAGGATTCAGAAGTCGCTGCTTCTGTAGTATCAGGTATAGTAATCCAAATATTACAAAATTATCTTCGTTTTTATTAGATGCTTGCGGTCCACCTGGCAATAAATTGGTTATCATACACACTTTTAAAAATTTTTGTTCTTTACAACTTGTTACTTTACAGATTAAAACAAAAATAAACGAATAAAAACAGTCGACTTTCTTGCCAGTTCATAGCTGAAATTGCTTGTTGAAGTTTTTGGAAGGGTTAAACGTTGATCTACTTATTTTAATGGCAAAAGATGTCCTACCTATATGAATAAATAGTTATATGATTTTCAGTTAGACTTTAAACTGTGCATCCATTTGTTTATATTTCTTCTTTTTCCAGAACCTGTCTTAACCACCCATCTCGATAAAATCACAGCCGTAGAGGGTGACACTGTGACCATGTCGTGCTCGGTACAGTCCGCAATAAGGTACTGTTACTTTAGAGCGTCCAATGGATCCATCTACAACATTTCACCTGGTAAGTACGAAGAGTAGATGGCCTTATGTATATTCTGTACATATAGCGTATATTATATGCTTGTCTCACTCGTATAATACTATAGTGATAAACAGAATGTGTCACTTTATTACTTCGTTTTGGCCTCAGTTTCAGTTTGTTGTAAGAGATGATTAAGGATTTATTAAAAGCCTTAATTCTGCTTTAAACTTTCTTTCTTTTTTTAATTCCATCAGAATTCCACCACAAGTCGTACTAGCTTTATAGATGAGGATGAAATTAAGTCAGTTGATACATCGTAATAACTTCACCATTAATAATCACGATGATTTCCAGAGATGGATATTTACGTTCAACCTGATATTAATACACAGATATAACTGTCAGGTTACAGGCATAGACAGTAGTCCCTAGTTACCAATCCTGTTCCCCTTTATTCCTTTATCGGTGAACTTATCGCTCAGGTACCACATCGGAGACAATGGAATATGTGGGCGCTGGCTTAGATGCTGGTGAGTGTGGTGTCAAATTCAAAAACCTGCTGGCTTCTGACAGTGGCAGATGGAGTTGCCACGTCGGTTTTTCAGACTTCAATGAACCAGAACAACGGGCGGAATTCGATGTTACTGTAAATGGTAAGTGGAAAGAACTCGTTGTTTTGGAGGCAGTTGAAAATAAATTTAAATAAACATTAACCATTATAAAATAGGTAGAACAAAAATATAATTTATTTATTTAATTCAAGTGAAGCTAAATGTCTACAAATGAATGAGCTACTATTTATTTGCAAATTTAGTTTTGTCACATGTTTAAAAACACTAATGTAATTGTTATTACTTTTGGTCTCGCCCTGTGTATTTTTATAAAAATGAAAATACAGACAAGGCTCTGAAATTTAGGTAGTCAATAAGATTGACTACGTAGTCAACAAGATTGGCTTTTAAGAAAGCCATTTAGTTATACCGTTTATATAGAATAAGGTAATAATGGCTGCGACTTTAACCACATTACCGGGACGTATATTGATAAGAATATGAAGTAGCCAATATTTTACGTGCAGAGATACAAAATTTCACGATTAGTTGAGACGTTAAAGCGCCTTATTTTACTTAACACGCAATGAAGCAGCTTTGTCGCGTAACTTGAGTTTTCTACCTCTGTGAAAAAATTAATTGTTAGAATTTATCCTAAATTTGGAACTGTGATGTAAACTATCGTAACCAAAATGCGTCAACTAATTTTCATATAAGGCGTGCGTAAACAAATCCCTAGTCGCGGTGTTTATTCATTTTTATAAACGTACATTGCTTGTTCTAACGAGACAATTTTTATCCTGATTAGGAAATAATTGCCTAGAAGGCGACGGAAGAATATTTTTGGCTTGCAAGACAACCTTTTTCTGGTCAGCTAGCAAATTGTAAGTCACGATGCGTTCTACAATCTTTTTTTATTATTTCAGAACCAATATCTGCTCGACAGTACACTGAGCAGAGTACACTGGTTGTGGAGGGTCAGGTGTACAACAGTCGACAGCTGGAATACTGCAGATTCGTTCGTATCGACGGTCAAGGTTATAGTAGTTATAAAATATAGACAGTAACTATAACTGAATCAATAGGAAAATCTATTTACTTACTAGCTTTTACCTACAACAATATCTGCGTGACCGTGATATGTACTGATCGGTATAAAGATCCTATATACTTTTCTATCCCATATAGTTGGTGTGTACTAAATACTTACTTGTTAATAATTGGTTAAACGAATAAAATGCTAAGAGGTAACTTATAAACAAACTTCCCTTCTCTTTAACATTTATAATATTAAATCCAGCAACATAATAAACAGTAATTTTAATCATGATGAAACACATCATTGAATAATGAGATTTTTTTATTTTGATTTAAGATTCAAAATATTAGAGTTCAGACTGAGGAGTTGTGTATATATTAAGTAAATTTTAGTATAAGCAAAATTTTGCTCCACAATAAAAAAACAATTCCTTCAGTTGTTACAAAATCAATACTTATATGTAATATCAAACAATCCCGCCTGATCCCGACCGAATAGCCACGCCTGGCAAAACTCCCCTAGGGGGAGGCTTATGGTCATCAGTGGACAGTTAAAGGCGAATATGATGATATTTATGAATGTCAAACAAGTCAACGATCTACCTGTTGGCAAGTTGTAATGTAACGTCGCCTGTGGGCATAAACAATAATGATTAATAATGCAATTGCCTTATTCAGGTATCATTTCAACTAACCTTCCCGACCGGTATACCAGCCATGATTCGCTAGCCACCGGTCATTGTGCAATACGGATCCAAGACGCGACAATCTTGGACCGTCACCCGTGGACTGTGGTTGCCAGGATCCTAGGCCAAGATGTGGAGATATCTCAGAGCACATCTCTTACTGTTACCATGCCTCCTGCTTTGGAACCTGAAAATGGTAAATTTTTCTTATTATATTTTACAATTAAAGTAAAATTTATTAAATATAGATACATTATGTGCGTAAGTATAAAGAACGCTGATAAAAAAACGAATCGGTTAATTTGAGTGACCCGTTTTTGAGACTCGATGCTCTATCTATATAATCTAAGATTGCTACAAAGATCTGGAGTTATATCATCGTAATACAATATGCAAAGTGCTGCAGAAACATGGTAATACCAATGAATACAGCTCCATCTGGTCCCAAATTAAGCCGAGCTTGTACTATGATATAGATACCTGATGAGTGCACTCATTTATAAATATTTTTAACTCTTTATTACATTTTAATAAATATATACAATGACAATTAGAAAATTCAATTAAAAAGAGTAGGAGTACAGATCAGTTTATAGATATAAAAAGAGATATTACTCTATCAGATATAATGGAATAATATTTAAATAAATTTAGATAAATATTGTGTGAAATAAATAAAATTCTTATTTACTTACAAAGTATTTCTTGTTATCTAGCAATGTATTGTATCTACATTGTTTTGATGTATTCAATTAGAATGGTAAACAAGCAGATGGCTCACCTGATGGAAAATGGTGACCGTCGCCTATAGACATGAACAGTATCATGGACATAGAGTATTCTGTTTCTCCCATGATACCCCCTGCTGCGTTGCTATTCCAAGAAATAAGGTGTTATGCCTCTGTACCCTGTAATTTTTTTTTTTATACAACTTAGAATGGCAAATAAGCTGATGGTAGAAACACGAATGGGAGAGAGGTACCCACGCAATCGACTTTTGTACAGTTTCCATCTAGTGATTTGTAATAATTTCAAGATTTTAATCAATTACAGCGAAAAAACTCATTCATTGGTTTCCAATGACGTTGCTGGGAATTATGCTGTTCAGTTTAATTGTACTACTTGTCCCCAAGAAGAACCGCAGTAAAACTATTGACAGGATGTGCATCATGAGAGACAGCATTCGAAATAGTTTCCAGAAGAAGCCATTGCATGACCCTGTTCAAAACATTGGTGTCATGGCAGCGTAATCATTTCTATCTTCAGTTTATTATCTTTTAATTATCTATATGTATGTGTAATCTATATACTTAAAACGTTTTTATGTAAAAAACTAATATGGAACATTTATTAAATATATTTGTTAATTTTGAAAAAAAACTAGTTTTAATCATTATGACCACGTACTTGACACCCTGCATGGCCATGTGGAGGTCCCACATGGCCATGTAGAGGTCGGACTTGGTTCCTTGTCCGACTCCACCTGCTTATGATACTTTTTTTTTATTGGTGATAATGTAATGATAACCGCGCTCGCGCTAACGGTAAACGCCAGCGGGGCACCAGCCAAGAATGATAAGTGAAGATTAAAGCAGGTTTTTTTTTATGGATGATGTTGGAATACACTGACAGGACATCAGTAAGGGATGAATGGTGAGGATGAAAAGGCAGGTCAGTTCATCGTGACGATAATTGAACGATAAATTAGTCACGATTGTTTCCAGGGGAAACCGCGTGGAGGTCGATCTGATGAATGATAGCAATGGCAACTAACCGATGAAAGCAGGTTAGTTGGCCCGTCATGATGAATAGACCTGGAATTCAGCACGATCGTTTGCAGGGGGAACCACGTAGAGGTCGTCCTGGTTGGGTTATGATAATGGGGTCCTTAGTCTCCATTACTAACACCACCCCCCTCCATCCCCGTACTCATAACCCCGTCTCTCCGGGGGGAAGGGATTGTTAGTAATGGGGAGGTTAGTCCCCATCGCTATCAATATACCTTATCATGTCGACCTCCACGCGGTTCCCCCTGGAAACCATCGTGACTAATTTATCGTTGAATTCGTCACGATAGGCTAACTGACCTGCCTTTTCATCCTCACCAATCTTCCCTCAGTGGTGCCTCGCCAGTGTATACCGATAGTGCAGGCGGGGTTAGGAGTACCATTCCATTATCATCCATAAAAAACCCCATCTCTCCGCCATTAACGGGTTTAGGCTAAAATAATATTTTTTTCTAACAAATAACCCGCCTATCTAATATATAGGATATCCTAACGCAAAATTCACTTCATTACTACATTTGACTACCAATATTGATCGATATTTATATTAAGGAAATATCAATTCTCAAGGAAATATCAAAGTGGCTAATACAGAATTTATTTATTTATTGTTATTTGCAGTATACTGCAGATTAGAATCAGATGATGAAACTCAATCACACTACAGGTAATTAAAATTTTTGTGTCTGTCAAATTATTTACAACATTTAATATCAATAATTAATTATAAGAGATTAAGATTATATATAAATGTACATAATATAATGTCAATTTTGTAATTTAAATTATAATGGTAAATAGGAATATGACATATATAATACAATAACTAATTCAATTCCAAATTAAATGTCAATATATAATATTATATATTACAGATATATAGAATCCAGGATAAGCTGCGTCAACCAATTTTTCCAGTCCATCAGCGAAAATGTCCCTTAGGTTTGAAATAGACTTGTTTACAAGCACTTTAAATCGTCATTTTTTTAAATCTACTGCAGGGTTCGGAAAGTTGTTATCAGTTGAGAAGAGCTCACAAGAAACTCAATAGTTGCTCTTTTAAATCTCTGTTAATATTATATGTATTTATTTAAATGTACTATGTCTAAAATTATATGGTCGTTAAAAGGCCGTAAATGAATGACTAACACCATGCGCATTTGTCATTTAATTAATCGTTTAGTGTATAATAGGCTTTGTTTAATAAGTGTTTTTTTAATAACAGTTTTAAACTTAAGGCAGATCTAAAATATTATTCGTGTTCGCGACATTATTTGTATATGTGTAATTATAGCGATATTTATAGCAATGTTTATAGTTAGTTGTTAAGTTTCTAGTTTAATCGTTTTTTGTATTCTGTTATTTTATATAGATTTACATAGATTTAAGATACCTATAGTGTAAGTTAAATAAAGTATTCCTTTGTGTGTTTTCATTATTACCTACAAATAGAAATAGAAATTGTAACAATAATAGAATTAAGAAATTGTAAATTGCGATAAATAAATAAACGCTATAGAGTACCGATCTGAAGAGACACGCGTCTCGTTCATTCTCGCCCCGTCCCGCTCGCGCAGATTCGCTAACGCGAGTTGGAAACGTTATCGTGCGAGCGGGCGGGTATAAAGATAGGCCGCCTCCCGTCGAGCGGCATTCGCTTCCGAGCAGCGACACACTACACTCGAGAAGAAATAGGACAAGAAGAAAAAATACTCTCTTCAGACGGTACCGGAGGCTTCAGAATAGTAATCGCTGTGTTTCACTCCAGCCTGAACCAACGCCCCTACAGTCCACGCTCACCGAACGGCAGTCCACACCGTACATCGTGGTCCTTCGAGAAGCCGGATTGCTGGAGGAACACCGTGGTCCTTCGAGAAGCCGGATTGCTGGAGGAACACCGTTGGTACATCAAGAAGCCGGATCGCTGGAGGAAGACCATTCTGAAGCCGGATCGCTGAAATGCCGACTACGAGAAACATGAAGTCGTCGCAGCAGAAAATCGCCGTCACCGAAGTCACAACGTCCGCCGCCACGTCGACTACGGCCGCCGGAACGCTGTCCGTCGCTGCCACGCCGTCCGTTGCTGCCACCACGTCGTCTGCGGCTGTCAGAATGTCATCTGTCGCTGCCACGTCGTCTACCGCCGCCACCACATCGACTACGAATACGTCCGGCGATACGACGACCACAGGAGCCACGGAGACTACCGAAGCCACAGGAACGACAGAGGAGACAGCAAGGAAGAAGGAACCGAAGCACGGCACGGCACGCACGGTTCGCACCACGGCCTCGCAGAAGAAGAAGGCTCTGGCCAAGGCACGGGAGGAGCTACTTCGAAAGGAGGTGGAATTGGCCGCTGCACGTGTCGCCGCCCTAGAAGCCGAATCAGAGGACGACGAGGAAGTAGAAGACGACGACGCTACCGTCAGAAGAGAACGAACGTCGGATTGGGTTCATCGAAGCATGCTAGCACTCACGATGGAGCCGCATGTACCAGAGATAGAAGAAGTCACCGGCAAGCGTCAGGGGTTCGTCCCATCGAGACCCGTTGAAGAGGATTCGAGAGCGCCGCCGCCACAGCCGAGCAGCGACGCACTTCACCGGGACCACGCACGCCACGTTGACCCACATGCCGCCATGCCTACGATAGCAGCAGCGATGCAGTCGATGAAGAAGGAAGAACCGGTGCTGAAGGTGGGCATCGATTGCAATGAGTTTGCGATCGCTATGCAGATGGCCGCTCGCAACATACTGCCCTCCACAGCGTCAAGAGTCACCGAGTTGCCAGTCTTCAATGGATCGTCGAGCGAGTGGTTACCATGGAAGATGGCCTATGAAGAAAGCGCAAGTCAACACACAGAACAGGAGAACCTAGCAAGACTGCGCAGAAGTTTGAAGGGGGCCGCAAAGGACGCGGCACGCTCCCTATTCGTCGGGTCTACGACCGCAGAAGAAGTGATGAAGATGTTAGCCGCGAGGTTCGGCCGCCCTGGAGCACTCGTCACAGCCGAACTGAACAAACTCCGCGCGCTACCACGACTCTCGGACAACGCAAGAGACGTCTGCCTCTTCGCAAGCAAGGTGCAGAACGTCGTCGCCACGATACGAGCGCTGAACAAGAGTCACTACCTCTACAATGAAGAAATAGTGAGAAACGTCACAGAGAAGATGCCGTCGGTACTACGCTTCAAGTACTACGATTTCGCCAACGACCAACCGGAGGGACAACCGGACCTCATAACACTCTCTCAGTTCCTGCAAAGGACCGCCGCACGATGTGGAAACTTCGCCCCCGCCGAGGAGATACCGTCCGAAGACCGGCGGGAGTCCGCTCCTAGGAAAACGGCGAAGACATACACGACGCAGGAGAAACCCGCTACACCACCGTGCCCGATGTGTCGACGAGAGGGACACGCTCCATCGGACTGCAAGACGATGAAGGAAGCAGACACATCGGCGAGATGGGAGTTAGCGAAGACTCATAGGCTGTGTTTCCGCTGCCTCAAAGTAAGAAGATTTCGCCACGCCTGCAAGAGCAAGAGATGTGGAGTGGATGAGTGCACGCAGGCTCATCACCCTCTGCTGCACACCACGCGACAACAGCCGGAGAATGAAGTAACAACACACGTCGTCGAGGACAAGTCCGCCGCAGTCACCGCATCGGCAAGGGAAAACGACAAGATCGCGTTCCTGAAGATCCTGCCGATACGAGTCACCGGTCCCACGGGAACGTGCGACACCTACGCGCTACTGGACGACGGGTCAACTTGCACCATCATCGAGACGACGGTGGCGGAGCGAATCGGTGCTACGGGTCCCCCCGCACCATTCTACATGGAAGGTGTGGCCGGGGCACGGATCAACGCAGCTCAATCGACGCGTGTTCACTTCAAGATCCGCGGGCGGAATTCACAAGAATACACAGTGGGGGCACGGACGATGGACAGACTGTAGTTATCACCGCAGTCGGTACCACGCAGCGTCATCAAGGGCTGTCCACATCTGCGGGACATAGAGAGGGAATTGGTCTATGAAGAGGGCAAACCGACGGTACTGTTGGGGCAAGACAACTGGCACCTACTGCTGGCCCACGAAGTCAGAAGAGGATCCGACACGCAGCCGGTCGCATCACTCACCGATCTGGGATGGGTACTGCACGGTACGAGTCGCGGCAGGACAAGACAGCAGGTGCACAGAATCAGCCACATAGTGACGACACATGAAGAGGAACAATCGATGGAAGAAATGATGAAGCAACATTTCGCGCTCGAATCGCTGGGGATCGCACCGAAGAGGTCTTACAATGAAGAAGAACGTCGCGCCCTACGCATCTTAGAGGAGAAAACTCGTCCGTTACCGGCGGGAGGATACGAGACGGGGTTATTATGGAAGAAGGACGACCCTGTGCCGCCGGACAACTATGAATCGGCAATGCGACGTCTCCAACTGGTCGAAAGGAAACTCGACAAGAATGAAGAAATTAAGAAGAGATATGAACAGCAAATGGACACGCTACTCAAGAACGGGTATGCTGAAGTCGCCCCGCCACGAAGTTCCCAACGGGTGTGGTACCTGCCACACTTCGCCGTCATC